TCTGTTTGTTCCTCACATATTTGGTGGCTTCGGGTAGCGATGGGGTTGGTGGTGTTGGTTGAAGTTTATGGAAGCTTGTGTGTTATGGTGGTTGGTGTTCATTCTTCTCTCTACGTGATGGAAGTAGTGTGGTGGAGGTAGTTCTACTCTCTTGACAAAAGCATGGAGGTCAAAAGAAATGGGATCGATGGGGAGGTTCTTTGAATCCATATCCCTTATTTTTCGGATTAAGTACAAGTATTTCACTTTATTTTTGGTGACAACATGTTTGCTTCCTATCCTTAACCTAGGGCTAGGACTGGTGCTTGGTGGTGTGTTGTTTGTGGGGTGAATTTTGCAATATCTTGAATCTTAACTTCATAATTAATCAAACTAATAAAGAGATAATTAGGTAAGATCTAAGTAAGCTTAGATTTGAGAATAGTTGAAAAGGGCTAATTGGTTTATTGGACTTTGATTTCAATTTCAAGATTGAGCTCATAATGAAATTGAGCCATCTAGATTTGAAAGGGGGAGGAAAGTGAGGGAAGAGTGGCTTTGTGTCACACACCGTGTTATATCCATCTTAACATTATTATAACACAGCACAATAATATTATCATAATAATCAAGATTAAGCAAATCCTTACATTATGTTATCATAATAAATGAGGGTTTTAAATTCAAAAGTTCAAGAGTCAGGATTATAAGAAACTCTTTTTAAAAAGTGTTTGAACTCAAATGATAATTTAAAACATACATTAACAAGTAACAAGTATGGTAAAAGAAATCATCACTTTCATGCATCAAAAGAGGACAAAATGGGCTTGGCCCAAAATGCACCAAATTGTATATCTAAATATGATGCTTTATATTTATCGATTACTCTAAAAAAAAACAAATTAACATTGACAAAGAATATTCTATGATTATTTCAAATAAACAACAACTATATAAATACTATGGTTACATAATAATCAAGTATGGGTTACATAATAATCAAGTATGTACACACTTTTGAAAATAATTATCAAATAATTATGATATACTACACTCCTTTTGTTTAATATATTATAAGACAGTTTTAATCAAATCATATTTTCAATGAGTTAAATTAACTATTTGTAAAATTATACACTCTTTTTATGTTTACTCTTATTTAAAATGGTATCTCAATTAAAAAAAATATCTTAATTATACTGCTAATTAAGGGGTATTAATTTGGAAAAATTATTGATTGCACCTTAAAAAATCCAGAATTTTTATAATTTTTAAACATCTTACTTAAAAAATGTTTTATATATTTTTAATAGAGGAAATACTTTTTACCGCTTGGATTATTTCTTATTAAAATTACTTGACTGCATCCTTGTTTAACAATTAAAAATTGTGAAATAAGATTAAAATAACCGTAAACTTTTGTCATTTTTATTATACACACACATAATTTCTGATCTAAAGGCTGAAGCACCAACCTCACTCATTGACTGAAGATGGGGTCACATTTCAACAAACAAAGACTAAATTATCTCATTAGTTCGTGCACTTGGTATCCTATATTAAAACTGTTCATTAAGTACTGAGAATGATGAGCCAAAAATAACGAATGTGAGTTAATTAAACTATCAATATTAATTATAGCTTTGCAAATATTCTTGAATAACAAGAAATGGGAATTCTTATTATTAAAAGAAATTAAAATAATGGAGGTTGAAAGTAGCTGCATGAGATGGTCATCATCGCCACCACCCTCAATCCTGTGGTCCCCACCTCCCTTAATTAAGTGTAATTATGGGTTATGACCAAAGTCCCATGCTCATCACATGTCCCTCCCCTCCTGAAATTTTCAAGGAAATTGACAATTAATTAATTAACACCAATTACCTGTACCTCTGAAAATTATAGTATGATGTTTCATGTGTCACATTGATCTAAATTTTCTACTTTCTCTAAACAAATTATTATATGTTAAGAATTAATTTCAACTTTTTCGTACAAAAAATAAATTGCAATTTTTTTTGTGTTCCTATTAAATTATAATTTTTTTATTGTACAGTAACTGTGATTATATCTCCTTATAAGAATTAAGTATTGGTTCGTCACATCATATGAGAATAGTTTCCTCCACTAGATCTAATACCATTGGCAAAAATAAATTACAACTTTAGAAAGTGTCAATTATAATTCATTCTATTATCCTTTTGGATAATTTTTTACATTTTTTAAAGTAACAACCCATATAATCATATACTAATACTTAATTTAGATTCGAGTCAGCTTAATCCTGGTTAAGAGAAAACTCTGATAATGTGATCTTTTTGTTTACATGGTGAGACTTTGCTCAAAGAATGTTGTCGGCTTGACGCTAATACCAAATTTAAATTTTCAAGTATTATTTATCTTGAATTCAAATTTTTTTTTATGATTTTTCCTAATTTTATTATTATCTTTCTATTAAAAGTAATCCTGTTTGAGATAAATCGGGTATTAAATGTGAGCACAACTTCTAATGGCAAAATTTTCAAATAAAAACAATTAGGAAGATAGTAAAAGATAGTTTGGAACAAAAATACTTTATTTTGTTATTAAAAATGCTACCTTTTAATACTAAGAGTATGGACTGAGACTGAGAGGTTAATAGGTTGATTTATGGTTGTGAATTATGGTTGATTTATATAATGTTAAAAAAATGCACCATTGTGCATACGATTTAGAAAGGAGGAATAACAGACGGGTTTTAAGAAAATTAATTAATTTAAATTATGTCTCAATCAATTTTAAAGTGTCAAATTTTAGAAATTTGTAAGTTTGATTTTTAACTTTGTAATTTTATTGTGATTAATTTATAACTTATTTTTTAAATTTTAACATAGTTGGAGAATAAATAAATTTATTTTTCCTGTTAAAATTTAAAACACAAGTTATAAATTTATCGCAATAAAATTATAAAATTAAGAGTTGAGTTTGTAAACTCTTAGAGTTTGGCACTTTAAAATTGGTTGAGATTTAATTTAAATTAATTAATTTTTCTAGAATCTTTATCATTCTCCCATTTGAAAATTTCAAAAGAAATAAATAAATAAATAAATAAAATGTCGGTGCTGGAAGCCTTTGTTATCTCCTACTTCTACACAGCGCCACACACCTCTCATCCCCCTTCTCTCCGCTACCAGATTTTGAATATGTTATCTGAAACATTATCCTGCACTAAGCTGCAACCACACATTATATATATATAATTTTCTCTTCAATGTATAGAATTATTTTTTTCCATAAATAATTTACATGATCAGAGCAACAGTTCACTGATAAGGATGCACCGATTACTAATTCCTAATTTACCAGAAATTCAGTGCTAATTTGTCCTTGATAATTCAGGGCAGCCACGCATCTTTTTCTAATTTACTTTTTTTGCGACAAACATTATATGATTTTCATGTGAGTCTATTGATTAATTAATGAATAGTTACTATGTCGTTTTCTCTCAAAATTCATTCTCTCTATATTTATCTGACGCTTTACAACATCCCAATTCGTACTGATGTTTTGTTGTTAAGCTTAAATGTGAATAACGACGATACTTTAAAATGATTGAATTTAGAATTCTTGAACGGTTCCCATCACAATATAGATTTAGAACTTAGAAACATATAAAACGACAACATATCACATACATTCCAGATTTTTTCCTTTTTGTCCCCCAAAGATGCATAAAATAAACTATTGACCAAATTTTTGGTGTAATAGTGACTTTTACCCTTCTCTTTCTTATATCTTGACTGTCAATCCTCAACAATTTTTATTATTGAAACTAAATATCTATATCATTAATAGTAATATAAAATTGAAATTTATAACAAATTATATTTTTCATTAGTATGCAGGCTCACCTTATGCGCACATAAAAGTCATGTGTTCATATAATATTAATTCTCTAAAAAATGCCAGTAATAAAACTTCCCATGTTTTAATATTTCATGAGTAAAGCCAAGAGGGATTGCAATTTATCAATTAAAAAAATCATGTTAAAAGAGTTATATGCTATGTATACCTAATAATATTTGATATGGATACTATGTTGATGCATTAGAAAATAAAAGAACCTTTTTTCAATACATATAGTGCATATTTAAAAAGAAATTGAAAATCATATTTCCAGAGCACATAGCAACACGTTTTGATCCAAAAAAAAAATCATAGCAACAAGTTGCATGGTAAAGCAAAACCAAGAGAGCATGCATGCTTGTGCAATGCAATAACAAGAAAATTTACTTATTAGAAATCAAAAGTCAATTACATGACCATTTGATATCATTGTGTATCAATTATTTACCAGGCCCTTTCAACATATTGTTAAACAAAAGGTTTCTTCTAATAATTTCATTTACTCCTTTAACAGCCTAATAACAGCCACTCTTTTGAAAAAATAATAATAATAATAAAAAGTAAAACCAACATAAGTAAAAAAGAAAAAAAGAAAAAAAGAAAAGAAAAGAAAAGTAAAACCAACCTACTCAGCCTTTATACTTTTACATATACATAGTGCCCAAGGGAAAAAGCTCATATCATATGGATGCTAATCATCATGTTTCTTTGGCCCCAGTCGTACATACATATTCATATATGCATACACATACTATATATATATATATATATATATTATTTTTTATAAATTATTTTATATCAATTTCATCAATATTAATATTAAAAAATAAAAATATATAAAATTTTAAATATATTTTTATACAATAAATTTAAAAAATAATATTATATTATTTTTTATGAATAATAATTTTAAAAATATTTTTTAAATATTATTTAAAAAATTATATTATATGACATATAAATGAAATAAAATAAATTTTTTAAAATGTATTTTATAGATAAAAGTGAAGTGAGTATATAATAGTTTTTAATTAAGGAAGAAGGAAGAAATAAAGTTGGAAAGGAAAGTAACGACCCAAAACGACATGCCGTCAGAATCTGAAGATTGGATTGACTAGTCACAAACTCACAATATCCGCCGCTACCACTGCGCAACACAACACAACCCACTTCTCAATCCCAGTCTTCCCCAAAAACGCAAAACCCATCATCGCCACCTTCGTCATCGTAGACGTCCTCCGTCTTCTCCACCGCCATGGAAGAGAAAGAGAAGACCAAAAGCAAGAACAAGAAGCAGAAGCACCAACACCCCAACGACCAATCCTCTAAATCCTCCTCCGATTTCTCCTTCAAGCCCTGCTCCGACGTCAAGGGCCTCCGATTCGGCGGCCAATTCATCGTCAAATCCTTCACCGTCCGGCGAGCCAGACCCTCGAGCTCCTCAAACTCTCTCTCTACCCACCCGACCCGAAAGACCGCCATCACAACGATCAAGCTTCTTCCCTTCCCTTCCACCACCGCTTACTTGCCCACTAACTTCACCATCCTCGCCCACCAAGCTTGGAACAACCTCACGCTCGGCCTCGGCACCAAAAAATCCAAAGTGCTTCTCTTCGTCTTCGATTCTGTAACCATGAAGGCCGCCGTGGATCGGACCTGGCCCTCCGAGATCCCTCTCGGTGATGTAAACAAGAAGCTCATTCGAGGCCTTTCCGGTTGCGAGATGGCCAGGTTTAAGTTCAGAAAAGGATGTGTTACTTTCTATGTCTACGCCGTTCGCCGTATCGGAAGCTTCGGATTCTCCTCGTCGGAAGATCTCCGAACGATTCTGCAATCCGTTGTTGCTCTTAAGGATTTCTTGGATCATACTGCCATGCTCGCCATGCCTCATCAGAGAACCATTCGTTATCAAGACGCCGTAGCCATGGCTCACTAGCTTCCGCCATCATCGTCTTCCTCTTCCTCCTCCTCACCGCTCTACTGTTAGCCTTTTCTTGCGTAGCTTTTTTTCACCAAAATCATATTTCGTTCCCATCAATAGGTAAATTTGTCAAGTTGGTCCCCATGAATCATTTTTTCATTTTAGTCCTTCAATTGTTAAGATTTTGCAATATAATACCCTTTCCTCATATAGTCTTGAATCAAATCTAACCGTTCTCTTGACTTAATGTGGGTTGTTCATCTAGAATGATAAATTCACATATCAAATTCAACATTGAACTTGTGACTAGTGCTTTGGTTAGATTTGGTGTTAAAACGACATTGTTTGACTTGAATGTTGTGTGTTCATTTGGTTATATGCTAATTTACACCTTAAAAATTTAACATTCAAGTCAACGTAATATTATATTTAATTGAAAATTTGGATCAAGAGATGATGAAAGGGGTGACATTGCAAGTATTTATTGATACAAGGATTAAATGAAAGAAATGATATGTATGGAGGACCAAATGAGAAGTTTATCTGTTTGCAAGGGATTAATATTTTTTTTTTTGGAGAGGCTGATTACTAATTATTGATTGATTTGTTGGTGATTTTGCTTGATGTGTATTAATTCTTTGTTTTTACCTTTTTTTGTTGTTGGAATATTTGTAATTTGTAATTTGAGTATATGAATAATAATGGGACATCATAGCACAACTCATTCGGGTTGCCTCTGTAATTTTTGCAGAGATCTTGGGCACAAAAGAAGCCTGCTAGTTGCTAATTGAAATTTGTAAAGTGAAAATTAAGCCTTTAGTATTTGTAATTAAAAAAGTTAAAAATTATTTTTTATTAAAATAACTGAAACATATTATTTGTATAATATTTTATTTAAACTTAATATAATGTTCATTTTATTTGTTGGCTCATTTATTTTTTTTATTATTGTAAGTAATTATAACATGTCTTTTTCTTTTTAAATTTTTTATCATCGAAATTAGCACTGCAAAGTAAATAGACTTTTGGGCATGAACTATTTGAAGTGAAAAAATCTATGAATTTCATGAATTTTTAAGAAAAGAAAGGAAGATAAAATTTTTTGTTTTATAAAAATAAATAATATAAAAAAATACCATAAATTAACTTCATGGAAATTGAAGAATAACATTTTGCATTACGAAAAGCCTGTTTTTTTAGCGTATTAGTTAATCAATGGGACAAAAACTGTCTATAATCAATTTAATATTCTTAAATGGCACTCTTTTCTGTAAATGGTGCAGGCATTGTTCTAACTTGCGAAGAACTGCATGTGATCAAATGCAATTATATATTAAAATTATTTATGAAATCACAACAAGCAAAATGCCAGATTTTCTCGAAATTTTTTGTTATGTATTTTCTAAGAAAATTTATAAAATATAAAAAAATGGCTAAAAAAAAAAAACCTGTGGCTAAGCGCTTAGCTTTCTAGATTGGTAAGAAAATAGTGTTTGGAAGGATAGAAAACAAAAGCAAAATGAGAAAGCTGTGGTTGACAAAAGAAAGAAGAAAGTCACACTACTTGGCACCCACTTGTGTCTTTAATTATAGCAAGAGAAGGACCCATGAACTTTTGGTTCACAAGTATCATGCACATCTCGGTCTCTCTAGATCCAGCTTTTGCCTCTTTCATTTGTAATAACAAAAGCTGATACACTGAGTAAAAATTTGAACTAATAATTTACAAGGTTGTACATTTAAATCTTATTATTAATGTAAAAATTTTATTCACAAATGATTTATAAATATTTTTGAATTTGAAGACTTGCATTGATCCTAAGGAGTTTCTCGGATTTCAGTTCCTAGTGTTTTGTTTTTTGGTAATCAACTCTCTGAAGATTTTGAATAAAAAAAAACAAAAGAAAGACATTAGATGGGATTATTAAGCTCCACAAATGCCTGTGCGTGTACTGACATTTGTCAGTAACCAGATGGTAACTCAGGTTATAATGATTATAAAAAAAAAAAAGGTTGCACATCAATATTTAATTATTTATATATAATAAAAAATTGTAAGAAATAGTGCTGCGTGTAAATTATGTGCAATGGCGATCATGCTCTGGCTTAAATTGTTTTTAAAAAAATGGTGAATCAATGTGGTCAACCCAATGGGCCGATATCCAGTTGTCTTGGAAGAAGCCCATGGGCTAATTTTTTTTTTTTTATAAAAAATCGTCCATTTTTTCTGACTTAGAGGGAGTGCACTGACAATTTAAAAAAACAAAATAAATTGAACTCACACTTTTTTTTTAATGAAAAAGCTTACATATTATTAGATTACAGTTAAAACACATAATGAAGTCAAACGCTTCACCATATGCAGGGAATCATAGAGTCTTTATTCAGTTCTCGTCAAAGTTGTGAGCACTGATCAAATGTAAATTTAGTTTGAACAGTTTATGTTTAAAGTATTCAATATTTCATTTTTTTAAATGATAGATTTGTATTTTAGGCTAGAAATTATAAGATGATTTTTATTTTGAACTCTACATTTATTAAAATAAAAAATATAAAAATATAAAAATGAAATAAAATTAAATTTAAAGAACTGAAAATCAATTTCAGACAATTTAAATTGATAATGAACACTTCATACACTCATCACTGTAATAAGCATGAAATGTGAATTTGTGATTCCCATGAGATGGTGTGTGTATGTGTTCTTTTTTTTTTTTGGCTATTGCACTTGATATCTTAAAGCGTTTGGATATGTAAATTTATTATCTATCCAATTCACTTTAAACTAATTTAGATTCTCACTTAGGTGGGCTCTCTTTGAAAAGGTTTTACAAGTATCACTAATGAGGCATGCTTTGCATGCTTAGCTGCGCTACTGCATACTTTAAGACTTGAATATAAGAATTTAGGTTAAGCTATTTAGTCCCTAACCACTTGAACAAGTGTCTTTTGGTGAGATATCATGTGTTTGTAACTTGAGAGTTAGGATTTTCATTGGCGAACATACATGGTTGAATGTTTAAATCTTATTATTAATGTAAAAATTTTATTCATAAATGATTTATAAATATTTTTGAATTTGACGACTTGCATTGATCCTAAAGGGTTTCTCAGATTTCAGTTCTTAGTGCCTTTTGTTTTTTGGTAATCAACTCTCTGAAGCTTTTGAATTGAAAAAAAAAAAAAAAGACATTAGATGGGATTATTAAGCTCCACAAATGCCTGTGCGTGTACTGACATTTGTCAGTAACCAGATGGTAACTCAGGTTATAATGATTAAAAAAAAAAAAAGGTTGCACATCAATATTTAATTATTTATATATAATAAAAAATTGTAAGAAATAGTGCTGCGTGTAAATTATGTGCAATGGCGATCATGCTCTGGCTTAAATTGTTTTTAAAAAAAAATGGTGAATCAATGTGGTCGACCCAATGGGCCGATATCCAGTTGTATTGGAAGAAGCACATGGGCCAAATTTTTGAAAAAAACATCCTCCATTTTGTTTTGACTTATAGGGACATGCCCTGACAATTTAAAAATACATAGTAAAACCAACTGGTGTTTGTCTAAATGGTTAGAGATTTAGATAGCTTAACTTGAAATTTCGTATTTGAGTTATAGGGTATGTAGTCGAACAACTGAACATACAAAATGTGCCTCGTTAGTAGTACTTGTAAAACCCCATCAAAAAAGGCCCTACTTATGTGGAGATCTAAATTAGTTTGGATTGAGTTGGGCGGGCAAAGAACTTAGGATATCCAGACATTCCAGAATGCCGGGTGAGAAACCAAAAATAAATACAAAATAAATTGAACTGACAATTTTTTTTTAATAAAAAAGCTTACATATTATTAGATTACAATTAAAACACGTAATGAAGTCAAACACTTCACCATATGCAAGGAATCAAGTCTTTATTCAGTTCTCGTCAACGTGTGAGCACTGATCATATTTAAATTTAGTTTGAACTGTTTATGTTTAAAGTATTCAATATTTCATTTTTTTTAAATGAAAGATTTGTTTTTTAGGCTAGAAATTATAAGATGATTTTTATTTTGAACTCTACATTTATTAAAATAAAAAATATTTAAAATATAAAAATGAAATAAAATTAAATTTAAATAACCAAAAATCAATTTCAGACAATTTAGATTGATAATGAACACTTCATACACTCATCACTGTAATAAGCATGAAATGTGAATTTGTAATTCCCACAAGATGGTGTGTGAGTGTGTGTGTGTGTGTGTGTGTTTTTTTTTTTTTGCTATTGCACCTAGTATTTTGAAGCGTCTAGGTATGCTGAATTCATTATCCACCTAATCCATTCTAAACTAATTTAGATTCATACTTAGGTGGGTTCTCGTTGAGGGGGTTTTGCAAGTATTATTAGCAAGACATGCTTTGTATGCTCAATTGCGTTACTGTATACTTTGGGACTTAAACATAAGATTTTAGGTTAAACTATTCAAGTTTTTAACCACTTAAACAAGCATCCTTTGGTGAAATATCATGTGTTCGTAATGTGGGAGTTGGGATTTTCATTGGTGAAGTTAGGGTATGCGATGGGAAGAAGAATGAGTTAGGGTCAGATTTCCAAACATAAGCCCATGGGCTACTAAACAAACGAATAAGCTGGCTATTTTTTAAATTATTGCTCACATAATGCAAGAAATATTTGTTATCACATTGATAAAGACTAATCCAATTGATAATAATTTGATCCATAATTTATAAAATTATAAATTCAAATCTTAATATTAATGTAAGAATTTTACTAATAAAAAAAACTCGTTAAACATATTAACACTTCTAGTGATTTGATATTTTCATATCTAAAAACACAAATTTGTAAGTAAGATTTGTTAATTCGAGAAGAAAAATGATTTTCAGTTAATGACACATCTCACAAGTTATTTCTTCACAAATTAGCAAACTTCACTTGAAATTTTTTGTTTTTAAGGTGGCAAATTTTTGTATAAAATACAATAACATTGTAAGATTCATAGACTAACCCCCCTGGATAAGATAAAACTTATTGTTGTAGCATTGTATGAGCATGCATGTTAGCTTGGGTTTACTTTTTTGATGCAACTTGTTGCTGTTTTCAAAATTTACAAAGTAACAAATCTCACTTGACAATTTTTTTCAGGGTTGCATAAATCAAAATGAAAGTGACAAACTTTTAGAACAATTTATTTTTGGTCCTTATTTTAAACTTTCAAATATTTTGGTCCTTATTATGCCATGAATAGTCCTAATAATTTTAAAAAATTAGTCTAAAAGATTGAATATGATGGAAGGAGCTAATTCCTCATAATTTAATGAATTAATATTCAAATCTTTTAAAAGATGTACTCCTCATTTAATGTTTGACTATATTTTAAATATGATTATTTTTAATAGGATAACATTTGTAAAAAATTAAAAAAATAAAAATTTACAAGTAAGGTTCGCTAATTTGTAAAGAAAAAATTGTCGTATAAAATATATAATTACTTAAATATCATTTTTCTTCATAAATTACCAAATCTTACTTGTACATTGTAAATGTATTTTGAGCATTGCAAATAAGGGTATGAGAATAGTAAATTATTAAAATGATAATATATTTAACAATTTTTTTCTTTAACGAATTACACTTGCAAATTCTTGATTACTCATTATGAACTCACATTGACAAATTTTTAGATGAATTCACCGAATAATTTTTCATCCTTATTTTAAATTTTTAAATATTTTAATCCTTTACATTCTCTGTGGTTTTAATTGGCGAGGCCCAAAACAAGTCTTTTTGGTCTGGGACCATTAATTATTAATTAATTTTAAAAACATGACGTATATTTTAAGTAATTAAATTAAATTAAAATAATATTAAAAAAAGGAATATCGAAATGCAAATGCACAAATGCTTTGCCGAAGACAGAAAAACGAAATAGAAAAAACTCGAGGTCGAGGGGAGGAGTCAAGATTCAACTGCGTCGTCCACTACCTCCGTTGCCCTTCTCCCCCAACTTGTTAGGGTTTCGAGTGCTGCACTTTTCCTTCAGTTCTTTGCGTCCAATGTTCAATCCCCAAATTAATACCTTTTTCTGATCCAAACTGGTTTGCTTCAAATGGTATTTGTCTGAATCCAACAATTCAATGTAATATTTTAATCCCTCCTTAGTTTCATTGTGTTAACTCTGGAAATCTTTCCTCTTCTGTGGTTTCATATTTATCTCATAATGTGATTAGATGAATAAATTGTGTTCGATTTGTTCTTTTTCTCTGTTTCCAGCTTGTATGGAATGAATGATAAGTTCACACATTTATGAGCTTTTCATGGTTTTGTGCTCTTGTTATTCTTGAAGTTTGTAGTTTGAAAATTCAAATGGGAAGTTCTGTTTCCTATTTATTATTTTAAGCTGCATGCTTTGCTTACTTTGAAGTTGCCGATTGTTCTGGAAAAATGCATATGCGGAATGGAAGTGGACTCTCTCCCGTGCGAGAATGTGAAGTGCGTGTCAATTGCCTGATTATCCTCCATCAAATTGATCCAAATGACTAGCTGTTTTATGGAAATATCGCCAATTTTCTCAGTATTTATTCTTGGCATCTTCTTCCTCATTTGAAAATCCAAGCTTCATCCTATATTGCTTCTCTGATATAATATTAAAACATTGGAGTTGATTTTTATTATAGTGAACCAGGGCTTAAGCATTTTTCCTCTTCTTGAAAAACGACCAGATCATAAAGCTGTTTTTGGAAGAAAAGTTGTCTCATCCTTCAAATCTTCATATCAATCCAACGAAGGAAAGTTAGACAATTGACACGCAATTGAGGGGGATCCGCATCCTATGAGGGACAGCATTCAGCATTCCTTAGATGAGGACCAATAGGACAATTCATAAAAGAGCTTACTCTTTTTTATTACGTAGCGACTGACAGTTGGGTTATACAGTGACCCACCCCGCCGAATATGATGTTTTCACTACAAGGTATTTTGGGTATTTCACTTATTTTGCTGGAACTGAAAATGGATAGTAAAGTTATCTCAAAACATCTTTCAATTCAAAGTATGATTTAACATCTGCAGATTGTAGGGCATATGTACGTTTGATAGGCTAACAACAAATTGTTTTGTATTTATTAACTGCATTGACTTAGATATGTTTTTAATGTTTGAATGTGTATGATCCATGCCATACCAAGGGCAAACCTACTTCTTATTCATAATGTTGACTGTCAACAGTGTAGGCAAACCTAGTTCTTACGTAACAAGGGCAACATATATACAATAACTACAGCAACCCGTACAGCACCCAAAGGAATGGAATCTGTGTGGACAATGATTGATCTTTTTGTGATCTTATTTCTGATTGCAATAGTAGGATTTGCCTCTGCAATAATCTTTGAAGCATATAGAAGAAGAAATAACCATGAGTATGTTCACTTAATTTATTTTAAAAACATGCAGTTATTTAATCTGTTTCTTATTGTAATCTTTTATTATAACAATAGGCATGTTGAAGGTGCGGCCATTTTTGAGGATCCTAATTCATTGAAACAGGTAAACCATTTACTTCTGTGTTAAATGAATTTCTCCTTTTGGTGTTTAGGAGCATTGTAAGGCAATAAGCAATACAGTTGAGTGATAGGAATCTAGAATTTATTACTATGCCATGCTCTTGCATCCTTTTTTTTCCAATGTTACTGTTCATTTTTACTTTGCAGGTATGGCCCAATTATTTTGGTCATGCAAAATTTTGGAGTGTTCTGCTTTGCTGGCCCTACTGTCCAAGGGCCTAAAATATTTTTGGGACTCTTAATTACTCCGATTAATGTTTTAAGGAAATGTGAAAAATAAATATAATAAATCTATAGCAATCTATACTATTCATAAGTAGTTACTACTGCGGCTCATTTTTAAAACTTTGTGCAGGTGAGTAGGTCTATATGGAATGAGTTCTAGGCTAGAGTTTCTATACTCTATTGGCCTAAAAGTCTGAGGTGCATCATGCACCTTAAGTGTCAGTTTCTACAATTATCAAATAAAAAATATCTTAGCAAACACTTTATCTTATATATGCTTGTTTTCTGGGGTAATCTAATCAACATTTACACAAAAAAGATAAAAGAGCGATAAGGCTACCAAGTCCATTGACTGTTACTTATCTTGTTTGGTCAGGATTAACCCATTCTGAAGTAGCAATGAAAATAATGCATAGCTATTAAATAACGCACAACATTTTGAAGTGAATCAGAAGAGAAGTATATGTAATGGAGTGAATGAACTTTTTGATATTTTCTTGGTTTTGCTGGATCGCTTAGGTACATAGCTTAGGAACTTCTTTGACTCATTTTATGTGCTCAACTAAAAGATTTATGGCTCATATTGGAGTTGCTACTTGCAGATAATTGGATTGATTTCCCAATTTTATGCTTGAGAGAGAAGCTAGTCTTCCTTTTAAGATGTTTTCCTGATATGTTTTCTGGTGAAATTAGTTCGTATTTTATGTCCTTTTCATGTGGACTAATGTACTTATCTTTTTCATAAGGATAGCACATGGAAAAAGCAAAATGCGATATCTGAACTATCAAACAATGAGTGTTAACAAATTTGAAATATAATAGCTTGACTAGGAAAAACCATGGCATTTAGCTCATTCTGAAGAATCTGTGCCCTTGTTGATGCTGTGTGGTGTGTCAATATGACAATATCTATAGAATGCATACACCTTTTTCCCCCTCTTCTCACTATGGCCACTTATTCTTTGTTAAAGTTTTATTTTCTTTGCATATTCCTATATAACTCAAAGGAAGTTAATTGAGAACCCTTATGAATGAAGAATAATGAAATTTTAACTTTGCTATACAACTATCATGTGCTAAAGATTATTATAAAACCATTTGCAGGCTTTAATTTAATTGTGCAAGCTTTTAAGTTGAAAGGGCTTCTGACATGCTCTCAAAGCCTTGTGATCAAGTGGTTATGAATTTGATCCATTCTTCCAAATCACACTTCAAGCCCATAGGCCATTGTGTGAGTGAAAAAGAGATTGTAATAAAAATATGCATTGGTCATAATTTAACAGCTTAAAGTTTTGAGTTACTATCTCTTTGGCAATATATATTAACTGCTCATTTATAAAAATGATAGACTATTAAACTTTCAAGATGAAGTATGATATAAGCAATAAACTACTCATATTCACAACAAAAATAAATTTGGCTGCATTAAGGATCACATGGGAAATGATGTGTATAACTTATTCTGTCAGTTGAATAATTATTTTAAGCATGCCCATCAAATACCTATAAGTCGGAATAGAATGATTGTTTACTTTCATTTTCTTTTATATATGATGTTTTTTACTTGGATTTTCATTTGTGTAAGCTGTGAAGTTAGGTAATATATTATTAGGATGAATGTTTGATATATGAGTTGGGTGGGTCTTTTGACTGATTCTTGCTCTGTATATTTAGGTTCCTTGCCCACACATTGTTGATCCAGCTACAAAGTATATGTCTTTAATAATTCCTGCATTTAATGAGGAGCATAGGCTTCCTGGAGCTCTTGATGAAGCTATGAAGTAAGTTAAAGCAGGCCTTTTTATCAACATTATGATTTCAACAAAAGAAATTTGGCTCGATTATTTTAGCTTCTAATTGGTCCACGTTGGTCTTCCTTTTATTTATTTTTCTGCTATGTATGTGTTGTAAGATACAATCAACCTATCTTATGAGTTTGCTGATGTGTCTGTTAATTAGTATTGTTGAATTGGTTTGCATGTCACTTGTCACTTGATATGGTATTAGCAACACATTTATTCCCCTGCATTCCAGTCAAAAAAGATCCAAAAAGATCAGTGAGATAGATAAGCAAAAGTAACTGACGGGGGAATTTATAATTCGTAGAAGATAATAAAACATTTAAATATCTATGCGCTTATTTTATTATTTCAGATACCTATTCTGATGCACTTGGTTCCTTCAAGCATGATTACATATTTGTGTAATTTGGTATTTGTTAGAATGGTGTGTTTTGCTATTTAAGGTATCTTGTTCTGAGAAGTAATGAAGTCTCTCCTGTTTACGGGCTATAGCTGAGAATTGCTATGTGGAACTATAGTGATATTTATACCTTTACTTTGTAGTTATCTTCAACAGCGTGCCTCAAAGGATCCTTCATTTTCATATGAGGTATTACCAGTTTCTTTACTTTCATGCTCAATTGAAGCCTTATAAGGAATAAGAGTTTTTGATTGCATACTTTCCCTTAAAAAAATAAATTTAGTTAGATTCAGGTTCATTATGCTAATTTAACAACGATATAGAGTCATGTATAGAAGATGCATGGTCCATGGAGAAAAGCAATGAACTATAATAGTTTTGTATTTCATATAATTAGTTGATTATCCCTGGAAGGCTTACTGAGTTACTGACAATATCTTTTAGATGATATTGTTTGAAGCTCTGAAATGGTAGGTTGAAGTGACTGATTTTACATAACTCCTGATAACTTTGAAAAACCTCTCTGCATTCTGCTATTCCAGCTGGTGTATCTCACTTCTGATGCATAGTCAGTTTAATGTTTATTTTTAAAAGCTTTACCTGAGGAGGCAATTTTCTTCAAACAATGACATGTATACTCAGTTTTATGATAATGGGTTGGGTATGGCACTCCCTACTGTTAACCCAACATTTTGCTGGGAAATTAATTAAGCACTCACATATATATGTGCACTGCTTAACTGTCCACTCTCTACTCAGGTGCATTGAGAGCTTTGGGGTGGTTAATGGAAATGAAGTTTAGTTTATCATAATGCATGGATGAGCACATAGTGTTTGCGGAAACACCTACAACATGTTGCCTAGGGTAACAAGGATAGGACTTTGTTCAATGGACTCATCGCACGTGCATGTTACACAAACTCACTGGTATCTGAGAGACCAATCCTCACCACTCTCTCCCATTCCTTTTTCATACCCTTGGCCCCCTCACTATTCTTAATTTCCTGACATTCTTCTTGGGTTTCCATGTTATTATCCTTCCTCCTAGTGTAAGCCTTATAGGGCTTGGCTCTCCTATCATAAGTCTGACCCTCCGGCCACTTATGTCCATCAATTTTTTTGAATTTTTTAGTGAACTCTCTTGTATTTATTTTGAATCAATGTATACCTGTGCAGGTTTTGATTATTGATGATGGAAGTGCTGATGGGACTAAAAGAGTAGCATTTGATTTTGTGAGGAAATATACAGTGGACAATGTGAGGGTTATTCTTCTTGGAAAAATCATGGCAAGGGAGAAGCAATCAGAAAAGTGAGTTTAGTTCAAAACAATAAAAGAAATCTCTTCTTATATAAGGAATGTCTGCACATCATACTCTGTGCTCAATGACAATTTATTAATGCTTTTTCTTTCTAAAAGCATTGTATTACTGCAGGGAATGCTTCATTCACGTGGTGAATTACTTCTGATGCTGGATGCTGATGGAGCAACTAAAGTCACTGACCTAGAAAAGCTTGAAAATCGGGTTGGTGCAATGCTTTTGTATCTGTGTTTCTCATAGGTTTGCCTATAATCACTATTTTTATTTCTTCTGCTATACTTTGATATGCAAATCGTTTTTAATTTTTGTTTTTTTAACCATTCAGATCCAAGCTGTTGCAAAACAAGAGTTTAAGAGTGGAGATTCAGCCACTAGTGATTTGAGCTTTAGAATATCTGATGTCCCTGTCGCTGCTTTTGGTTCAAGGGCTCATCTGGAGGAGAAGGCTTTGGCTACAGTTAAGTCTTCACATTCTTTCTTTATTTTCTTTTAATCTTTGTCACATTTGTCATGATCATCTTGGTTAAAGTATTTAGCTTTAATATTTCCAGAGGAAGTGGTATCGTAATTTTTTGATGAAGGGTTTCCATCTTGTGGTTCTCCTGGCTGCTGGTCCTGGAATTCGTGACACTCAGGTAACTTCATTTAATTTTTGACCTCAGTCTGACACCACAGTACTCTTATGACCTATTGACCTGTATATGATTCTCTCTGTATCTAGTGGCTGGCCTTCTAGAACCTTCTTCAGAAATGATTTTTTGCATGTTGATTGCCTATCAACTTTAATATGGTTAAGTACAATGCCTGTCTTTTTGCCTCACGATGGCGTTGGTTTTAATTGCTCATCTGATTGACTCTGTACTTACAGTGTGGTTTCAAGATGTTTACTAGGGCTGCAGCTAGAAAGCTTTTCACAAATGTGCGCTTAAGGAGGTAATGACACCTAATATCTACAGAACACTAAAGCTTCTTAAATTATTTTAAAGGAATAGATCCAGAAATAAAAGAAGATTGGTGGTTTTACTCGTTATAATTGCTTGTCTTCCAATCTTCTGTAACCACCTCTTTTGGTTTGTATGCCATATTTAAGAAGTGTATCTGAACCTGACATCAATATTCTAAAGGTCTCAATAACATCTCCTTGATATAATTTACTGAATTACTGAATGCTTTTTTTTTTAAATTTTAATTTTCTGGTACTTTTTTGTTGATGGTGTTAGCATTTATTCTCTGCAGGTGGTGCTTTGATGTTGAATTAGTCTACCTATGCAAATGGTTTGGGATCCCAGTTTCGGAAATTTCTGTGAATTGGTCTGAGATTCCAGATCCAAAGTGAATCTCCTGAGTATTCCTAACATGCTTTGGGAGCTTCTGTTCATGTCTATGGGATACAGGTCTGGTATGTGGAGAATTTCTGCATGAGCTTTTATGCTGTACATAACGGTAATTTCCACATCAGATATAGAAATGCTAAAATTATCAGGAAAACCTAGATTTTATTCACGCTCCTTAAGTCATTTTAAGACTTTTTGGGGGCAAGAATTATATTTAAATGTTTGTAGGGGAAACCGTATAGCCTTTAAGACTTTTTGTTGGGCATAAGGTCTCTAGAATTTTTCCGGCGGTTGCTATTTTCATCTCTGAACGAGTAGAAAATTTGACCTGTTCATAATTGTTTGTGCTGAATTGGAGGAAAATATTCAATAGGATAAGAACTGTATGTAATTAAAAAAAATTCCTATCAAACTAATCATGCAATCAGTTGTTGCCAAAAGCATACACACTGATGTTATTTTAAAAAGACAAAAAACTAGCATTTTAACTATTCCCTATATTTAGTATTATAAGATATATTTCTTAAAGTTCTTAAAAAAGTCTTTTAATTAAATAAGTTATGTTTTTTAAAGTTCTTAAAAAGTCTTTTTAATTAATGGGTGTAATTAATATGATTATTTAAATTGATTAATTAAGGATCAACTTGAAAAGTAATGTAATTTTAAATGTTAATAATTAACTTATTATGAGCGTACCTTAGATAGAAGTGTCTCCGTGAGTCACAAATTATGGAACTTGAGGGATTCTTCCCAACCAAACGGGGACCAGACTTTATGTAAAAGGATCTTCACGTGTTCACACTTCACAACCAAAAAGGCTGGCTTCGAAGTGTCAATGCTACGACTGACAAATTGACAAACTAATTCAACTTTGTTGAGGGCTTTTTCTTCAGCTTATTTTATGCAAAAAAGACTTGATTTTTTAAAAGAAATTTGTTTTACAAGTTTTTATGATAGTTGTTTAAATTTTTAAAAATAGCAGAATTTGCCCCAAACAAAAAGCAGATTTCTGATTTTTTTTGTCAAAAAGTTACTCAAAAATAAAAATAATTTAATTCAGTATATAAGAGAAAATGTTTTAAAAAGTTGGAATATAAAAATATATCATAAAATTTTAAGATAATAGAATAGACAATTATTTTAATAAAACAAAAGTAAGAAAAATATCGTTTTTTATTATTGTAAGTTTGTAACCAAATATAAAATGATGTCAGTTTTTTAAAAAACTTGTATAAAAAACTCGTTTTTAATAAAATCTTTAAATTATGTAAAAATTATTTTTTTAATTTTAAATAAATGGACCTAAATAACTGACAACTAAAGAGTTTATTAAGTACTTTTGAAAAAGTTTTTAAGCTGGTTGCCAATCTTAAATAACTACTTGTAATTGATTTTTTTTTAATTTATAAAATGTAAAGTTCAAATCCCTGTATATATATTTAAAAAAAAATGAATTGTGAATATGTTATAAAAGAGTTGTGAATCCCAAATTTGTGTGGCCTAGAAAAAGCCCGAATTTGTATGTAACACTAATTTTTTTAAATAAACTTACAGTTAAAATTGAGAAAAATAATAATAAAATAAAAGAGTAACAAAACAATAATAAATGTTAAAGAAAGTTACAGACACGCAATCTAGGAAACGCCGCTCTAGCAATGTCTTGTTCTTGTCTCAGAAATCAGAATCTTCCCGGTGTCAGCCCGAGGTCTCTCATACACAAATTCAAAGCGTGATTTGCCCTGAAATCTGCAATTTACACAATCTGTGTGTCCGAATTTGGGTATAGTCTAAAATCTTAAATTTTAATTACCAAGTAGAAAAAACTATTACTCTTTTTATTTTAAAAAATTTGAGTTGTATTTCACAAGCTCATTATGATTAGGATATGCCTGTAAGTTCAAAAAATATTTATAAAATTGCTCACCAACCATGTTCTTACATTATGAGCGAGATTTGAACCCACAACTTAGTGAATTATAGGTTAAATTTTTATTAATTGTACTTTGTCTTTGAATAAAAAATATTATTCTATCTGCTTCAAAATATATGAACCCTTTAACTACCTTACGAGGACTAAGAAAAATAATAACTTAAAAAATGATATAAATCATTAAATTAAAATGGTAAAAAAGTTTATCAATAAAAGTTGGTCTAATTAGTGAGAATTTGATTTACAACCCACAAGATCATGGGATTAAATTTCGTTGCCAATATGAGGACTTTGTTGATGGGTGATCTGTAAGTACCTTTATAAGTGTTCTTTAAACCTAGAGGCATGTTCTGACTCTAGCTCATGCTCAACTCACCTAAACTTTTTGGTCTAAAAAAATTATCACCACTTTCCAATATTACATTATAATAAAAATTCATACATTTTAATTATTTTTAATTTCTTTCTTACATAATCTCTCTTGAAAATATAATTAATTAACAAGATCATTTATACAAAAATTGGAATAATACAATTTTTAATTTCTCAAATTTGTCTTAATTATTAATTTGGTCCTCTAAAAGTTTAGAAAACAAAAGAACAAATCACATTGTAAGGAATTATCTTGATAAAAATTAAACTCATTTGAAGATTAATTTGTTCACATTTAGCTACACATATGTTGCTCACCGCAAGTGCACGGGTCGTATCAAGTAATATAAAATGAGTAGAGTATCGTTCCCTCGAGGATTTGTTTAGAAAACTATAATCAAGCAAAAGACTAAGCAAATTTGATCAAGTTGAGCTACACATAGTTAGGTGAAATGGTTTTGCAAATGAGATTAACTCTAGAAAATAAAAAAAAGAAATTGATTCACAAACTTCAAACACAATTTAGGACCTAGGATTATTTACCCCCCTTGCATTTCATAACATCAAAATTACCTCCTTTCATAAATGCTTTTAATGAAAATAACTGCTAACCTAGGGTTCTAAAAATACTTGGACAAGCTCTCTCAAGTTATGAACAAGTGTTTAGTTAAATTAATTGCATAATCTCTTGTTACAATTAATAAAACTCAATTTTAAAAACCAACCTTAATGTGGCTATGTAAGGCTAGCAAGTATATCTCTATCTTACTAGCAAAACCATCCATTCAACATGCAAATATCAAGTTCTTACACAATTTTACCCAAGTTCTACACTCAACCTAGCCCTCTCAAGCATCAATTAAGTGAACCCAACATCTAAATGGTGGCCAATCATGTAGAAGCATTAAGGAAAGAGTAAAATAAACACATATATATCATTAATCATAAAAAGAGAGGAGAAATATAGTGTTAATCCATACAAGGGTTCCAAATAATCCTAGAACAAAGGATTTAGCTACTCATAATCATCCACAAGCTACAAATATACAAAATAAGTGGATCCATTTCAGATTACAAGAGAGGAAAGGGAAGAGGAATAGAAAAACCGAAGAAAATGAGCTCCAAATGCCTTCAAAGCTTCAATCTCTTGATCCCAACTCTTCCAATGCCCAAACCCTAGCACAACCAAGCTCCAAAAGTGTCTAAAAGTCTGAAGAATGCGTTCTGGGTCGAGCTCTCAGCTTATATGTGTCCTAGCCAACTAATTTCTGATAAATGAAACGCAGCGTTTTTCTAACAGCGGTGAAAGTCGCGAACGAAAGTCACGACTTTGGGACGACTTTGGTAGTTTTGCATTGTTTTTACAGCTAACGAAAATCATTCATTTTGCTCTTGATTTCTTCATCCAAAAGCCTTCCATAAACATCCACAAAGCTCCAGAAATGCTTCTAATCAAAACTTCAATTAAAATAACATGAAATTAGGCTAAAAGTATCAAATTAAAGCCAAGAACACAAGCTGAAAACAAAATGCACATTTTCCTAATTTGGACAATAAAAACATATACAATTGAACTAAAATGGATTAGAATCTAAGAAAAATGTGATGAAATAACATGAACTTCTAGATGTTAACACACCCCCAAACTTAAATTTTTACTCGTCCTCGAGTAAAACAAGTAATAAAACAACTAAATTGATCAATTATTCATCTACTAAGCATGTATGAAAGTATCCTTACTAGTTGCTCTAAATATATATCAAAGAGGATAGCAGTGAAATATAAAGGAATGCCCGATTCACAAATTAAGATCATGCTTTCCAACAATTTAGAAATGTGTGTGTGTGAGACCAGAGAATGATTTTCCTGCAACTATCAAGTCAAAATGTAACAACTCAATATGCATGAAACAAGCTCAATATCAAGACTTCATATGCCTAAACTCTTTTTCTCTCTCCACTAAAAGATCACTTCACATAATTCAAAATCAATGGGACTTTGTAAGCTTGTAGCGTGGCCGAAGATTTTGGGCTAATTGAAATGAAAGGATGAATGGAATTTAAAGAGCTTGAGATAAATGACAATGAGAAGCCAACCATTCCATCCTTACTAGCCAAATACTTTTTCCCAAACTTATCTCAAATACCATTCCTTGTACTCCAAATTTATTTATATTGAAACTCTTTTTTTTTTTTACAATTTTTTCATGTATATTTCTATTTTTTATACTTTTTTTAAGAGCACAATTAGTAGAATTCCAAACTTCATTTCCATTCCTCACACCCAAATTTACAACAACAATACCTCCTTGAATAACTAAACCAATCTTCCCCATTAGCACACAATTTTTTTTATCACTTATCTCAAGAGTCAGGTAGTTCATGATTTTTCAAGTTGTAGAGACAAGGGTCTAATGTAGGTTTCAAAAAGAAAATATATAAGATTTTCAATTCCAGGCTCAGAAAGGGGTTCAAGTGGAAATGATGCAATAGGTCGGCTTGAAAGGCTCAAAGGCAATTAAAAGAATGCCCAAATCATATTTTAATATCATGCGAAGTGATTAAAATGCTTCAAGAGATTCTAAGATAGGTTCTAGAGTTTCTCAATTGAGAAAGAAAATGCACATCAACTTGTCACAAAATTTCCTAATAGAGGCATTCAAATCATTGTCTGATTCAAAAGTGCAAAAGAAAATTTCACAAATTACTAGAAAGCAAGCCTTAACCCTACAATTCAAGCATGCCAAAATATTGCTCACAACTTCCTATAAAACGTACAGTTTAAGCAACGTTCTATCATTGGATCACGCATTCTGTTCAACAAATAATTTCTCAATCTAGCTCAAATTTCAAAAGAGAGGAATAATAAATAGCTAAGTTTCAAAATTGAAGTTCATGTCAAATCAATCAAAATAATACCCTTACCCCCAAACTTAAATTGAATAGTGCCCTCACTGTCAAAAGAGGAAAGTAAGGGCCCTTTCTCATACAACTATACAACCAAACAACAATAGAAAGGTTGCATGAGAGACACAAA